AGAAGTCATTATGTTTGAAACTTTTTTGTCGAATATCATATTGTAATGTGTATATGAGTGATAATATAAAATGCAAATCATTTTTAACAAAATCTAAATATACACAATCACAGTTATAAATACATAGAAAACATAAATAAGAATTATACAAAAACATTTTTTATATATTTTATTGTTCGACGGTAATTACTTACGCACATAGCACGGATGAGCGTATATACGGGAGCGTTTTATATAATTAATTTTCGAAAATGATATTTCGTAACATAATTATACACATGGTTGAATTTGGAAAAAATAAGCTAAATTAGGTAACAAAATTTTTAATTTTGGAAAAAAAAAATTAGGTGGTGAGGGTTTTTACAAAAAAAAAAAAAAAAAAAAAATTTTGTTCATATTACTTTAAGTACTCTTCAAGCCATTAAAATTTGTGTACGTTTTTTCTTTATATCTCTTATAGTTTAGCAGAATTTGATCCTAAAGAAATACCGTTTTCTTTAAAGGGGTGGTTTCACCCCTTAAAACTCAAATTGCGCACGTTAAAAAAATACGTGTCTTTTAATTTGTTATTAACAACAATTCAAGAAGAAGCAAATCATTTCCGGACAGTTGTGACATGTCCCTTATTTAGTGAAACAAGCAAAAGGCTTAAAATTTGGGGTCACATTTCATAATAAAGAACAGACGGTCTGTATCGTGGAAAATGTCTCTCGTATACATCAAACACATATCTGTGCTCTTTGTAATCGGCAAACTCATTTCGTGTACTGCGAAAAGCAAGGAATTAATTACGCGAATAGTTTATTGCAATCACTTTAATTTACATTCCTTTCTTGTGTTTTGTTTCTCATAATGTCTGATTGTAAGATAACGTACTTACCAGACAAGATAATAACCATCATTCTCGGCTATAATGTTATCACTATGGAGGATATCATGAACTTTCGATGCGTGTGCAAGAAATTTCGTTATGCAGCAACCACATATAACAAGTTCTAAAAAAAAAGTTATCTCAAAGAATTCTTGTGGTTTGTAAATCTTTTTGTTATTTTGTCTTAATAATTTCTGTCGCATAATGTATATCCCTTCAACAAAGAACGTATTTTGTGAATATTAAAAATATTAAAATATATTGTAAGACAACAAAAACATCAATAATGTATATAAAAACTGATAGAAAAGAATAGATTAAATAAATACAAAACGGACAAAATAGCGTGTTAGCTACGTAATCTTTAACATTTCTTCAATTATTCAATTTATTTTTTATACTGATTCAATTAATAAAATAATTTATTTATTGTTTATAGTAATTCAAAATAATCCTATTTTTTTAGATCATTTAGTTTACATTAGCACATTGTCTTGTGAATTTCATTAATTATTATTCAAAAAATATAATATAATATGTACTTTAATATATAATTATATATAACATAAATAGTAAAAAAAATATTTAAAAATTAGATTAAATCACTTCACTTCCATTGAATCACTTAAATTTAAATATTTTATTTTATTATCGTCTTTTATTTTACTAAATGATTTTTTCTATTGCTCAATAAATTTGGCAAATTCTACCGTTATATATATATATGTTTATTTGGAATGTAAATATTAAATAATATACTGATAAGAATTCTTAATTTTCGGCTGTCAAAAATTAAAAGACCAAATATTTTTAACCGACATTCGTCAATTAATGTTTATTTAATTAATCACACAACGTTTCGACCACGGTGTTTCGACCATATAATTTTGGTCCTTCGCACACTTAACAGTAACACTTAAGAAAGACAAGAATTATATGAAACGTTGCGTAATTAATTAAATAAATATTAATTAGAATATGAATATATCGGTCGACAAATATTCAGGCATTCAATAATTGTTTTTAGATTTAATTATTAAAAATACAACATAGTAACTTTGTTTTATTTATTTTAATGTGTATTCTTCAATATATTTAATTGCATTTTTAAATATAAGATTATATATATAATATATATTCGTGATAGTAACAAACAAATTTGATATTTTTCTATCGGTTCTTTTTCATAAATAGCATTGAAATCACAATTAAATCTTTATAAAAGTAAAAACATGCCAAGTCACATATATAAGCACAGTCGTCATTGTTTGTAAATATGCTTTCGAAAAAATTGTTCTACAAATATTAAAAAAAAACTTAATCTATACATACATACGCACATCAATGTTTATTAATTGCATATAGAATACACTTATAGAATTATGCAATATACATATTGGAATCAAAATTTGAAAAGAAAGAAAGAAGAGAGAATATAAATTAAATTACAAATTAAAATTGACTATTATATATTTTCTTTTTCTGATTAAAGTATAAAAAAAAGTGACATATATATACTCATGCTTTGAATTGTACACTTTAATAAATTTATTAATTTGAAAAATGACTTGTGCAATCACATTTTTTACTATCATCAAAGTTTGCTGTGTGTTATCTAAATAAAATTAAATGCAAGAACTGTAGCGTCATCTTATCTGCATTTAGATAATAAAAATATGTATTATCTTTATATCTGCATCTTACAAATAAATAAAAAAAAAACCACCTTTACTATATTATTTATCTAAAATAATATTCAAATAATTTTGGTTTAAAATCATAGCACATAAAATACTTAAATCAGACAGTAAAGCGATAAAAATTTATAAATAAAAATATGTATACATATATTGTTGTATCTTTTTCATAATTTATATTTCTTGTATAACTGTGTTTACATAAGCAGTCTTAAATATTATTATCTAAACAATTATTTAAATAAATCGTCATATAATTATATCTCTTATCTAGATACACTTAAAACAAAATCATCTTTATCCTATCTAAGATTAATTTACATACTTTTATCTCATCTTTATCCAGCTAATTTTAAATTAATCTTGACACAACACTAATTGTAAGTATCATTATCAAAAATTTATTACAATATTTTATGGTCGTATTTTAGATGGCCCTATGCAAAGAGAAGATATGAAAGTCTTACGGAAAAAAAAAAGAAGAAAACCTAAACTTTGTTATAATAGGCATAAATTCTGCGACACAATTGCGAAATTATTTGTCTCAAATTTTTTTTTATGATTATTATTACAATAATAGATCAAATCAAAATTACTTCGAGAACTCATTTACTAATGTATTGAAATTAACAAATAATGTAAAAGAATTCAGTGGTAATATCGATAAATATGTACATTCTTTGCCTGAAAGTCGATTATTTCCTGATCGTCCACATAAGCCTCTAAATGTGCTGAAATATATGTTTTATATTGAGGAGATTAAATACTTGTTAACACACAATTTCCACAGTAGGATTTTCATATATATTATAATGCTACTATTATTACATTTTAATGTATTTGTTCATTAGTTAATAATTCAATATATATAAATTTTTATCGGTTCTCTTTATTGTTTCTCTACATTTTTTTAGAGAGATCAGAGAAAAACATAAAAACTAAAACCTTGAATTGACATTTATTCACAAACATCTGCGTTGAGTTCGCATAGTCTGTTCATTCTGAATTTGCATTTAATCCATAAAGTTTTTATATTCTTATAGAATTTATATTTCTAGAATATATACACCCCGTATATACGCGCGAATAAAACTACATAATTTTATAGAATAGTCTTAAATAAACTATGTACATACACCAATTATTAAATATTTGTATTGTAAGTCGACGATTTTATTTTAGCTGAGAATTTATCTGTAAAGATTGCAAATAAAAAAAAAAGTAAATCTCTTTTTTTCTCTTTCTCTCTTATCGAGAAATTTTGACAATGCACAACACTGGAGTTTTAAACTGTAAAATATAAATACATGAATATTATTGGTAAAATTTAATATAATAATTGATAATTTGAAATGAAATAATTAATTAATCTTAAATAATACAAAATATAAATACATAAAATTTGTAAAATTTGAAATAACTGATAAATTTGAAAAAATTTATTATTTTAATTAAGCTTATATAGAGAACAATAAATAAATAAGAAATGATAACAAAATAAATAATAAATAAATTATTTACCACGTTCTTTCAAACGCATAGGAAGAAACGGTAAATTTGCTAGTTCTAAATTACATTTTCTGCGCATGCCGTGGCAAGTTCTTATACCTATATCTTAGAGAAAACAAATAATGCTTTAAAATTTAAGGTCAAATTTTATAATAAAGAACAGAACGTCTACAGTGTGGAAAACGTCTCTCGTGTACATCAAACACATATCTGTGCTCTTTGTAATCGGCAGACTTATTTCGTGTACTGCAAAAAACAAGGAATTACGCGAATAGTTTATTGCAATTACTTTAATTTACATTCCCTTTTTGTGTTTCGGTTCTCATAATGTCTGATTGGAAGATAACGTGCTTACCAGAGAAGATGATAAGCTACATTCTCAACGATAACGTACTCACTATTGAAGATATCATTAACTTTCGATGCGTATGCAAGCAATTTCGTTATGCATGCTCTATACATATGACAAGTTCTTGGAAAAAAAGTTATCTCAAAGGTAATTCTTGTGGTTTGTAAATCTTTTTGTTATTTTGTCTCATTAACGCCTGTCGCACAATGTATATCACTTCTGCGAAAAACGTATATTATAAATAAATAATTAATAAAAAATATTTGAAAAATTAGATATGTTGCATTTATGTTGTATATTAAATTATTCGCTTTCATTTTTTTCTATTGCTCAATAATTTTGGCAAACTCTACCGTTATATATATACATACATAATATACATATATATATATATATATATATATATGGAATGTAAACGTTAAATATAATATACTGATAATAATTCTTAAGTTTCAGCTACTTAAAATACTACATAAAAGTAACTTGGTTTATTTATTATAATGTGTATTCTTCAATATATTTAATTACATACATACACATAAGCACATTAATGTTTATTAATTGCATATAGAATACACTTACAGAATTATGCAATATACATATTAGAATCAAAATTTGAAAAATATAATGTAATTACAAATTAAAATTGACTATTATATATTTTCTATTTTTGATTAAAGTATAAAAAAAGTGACATATATATACTCATGCTTTCAATTGTATACTTTAAAAAATTTAGTAATTTGAAAAATGACTTGTGCAATCACATTGTTTACTATCATCAAAGTTTGCTGTTTGTTATCTAAAAAATTAAATAGAAGAACTGTGGCGTCATCTTATCTGCATATAGATAATAAAAATATGTATTATCTTTATATCTGCATCTTACAAGTAGATAAAAAAAAGTACTACCTTTACTATATTATTTATCTAAAATAATATTCAAATAATTTTGGTTTAGAATCATAGCACACAAGAATATTTAAAGTAGACAGTAAAGCAATAAAAATTTATAAATAAAAATATAAATACATATGATGTTGTATCCCTTTTATAAGGGATCCTTATCTTTTTAGGATATTTATCCAGCTAATATTAAATTAATCTCGACACAAGACTAAGAATCATTATCAAAAATTTATTAAAATATTTTATGGTCGTATTTTAAATGGCCCTATGCGAAGAAAAGATATGATGTTCTTAAAAAAACAAAGAATGGAGAAAACCTAAACTTTGTCACAATAGGCATAAATTCTGCGACACAATTGCGAAATTATTTGTCTCTAATTCTTTTTCATGATTATTATTACGATAAAATATCAAATCAAAATTATTTCAATGATTCAATTAATAATGTAGTATTGGAATTCGATTATGTAAAAAAATTCAGTGATAAATTCGATGAATATGCAAATCGTTTGAATGAAATGAACTTGTTTTTAGACGTACACGTAAGCCTATAAATGTGCTGAAATGTATGTTTTATATTGAGGAGATTAAATGCTTGTTAACACAAATTCCACAGTAAAATATTCATATATATTATAATGCTACTATTATTACAAATTTATTGTATTTATTCATTAGTTAATAATTTAATATATATAATTTTTTAGGAAAATTGATCGAAATTCAATCCAAGAATTTTGCAATATAAAAATGTCTCACTATGAGAAGATATCTTCGATACGAAATGAGTTAGACAGATATATACAGAAACCTGAAAGAGAACAGCTTTTGGAAGAAACATGTACTTTCATAGCACAACGTATTCAACCTCGAAAAGATGTATGTTACACGAATGTAAGTGCATCATTGGATACAATCGCACAAGAGGTACTGACTTGTCTCAGATTGAAGCATCCAAACCATTCGATATTCTCCACGTCTGAAGAAACTTTTTCCTATTGGAAAAGCAACAATATCAAAGATAATCATTGGGATGAAACAGAAAGTACGCAGATTATGGATACACTCCAAGAATATATTTAGCATCTTGAATTTTCGAGCATGTATCTCCCCATTTTCACCCAAAGATATCAAATGGATTTGTATAGATTATGTAAGTTATTAGAGATTATAATATATATAATTATGGGCCATATATGTATATATTATATATTGTTCTTAATATTCTCTCGCTTTGATCAATTTGTTCTGTATTATACCTGGCACAGGTATTACAAAGTAAATATGGTCAAGATATTGTTGTATATACAATATCTTGACCATATATACTTTGTAATGCCTGTGTTATCATAACGTGGCTAGAAGACTTGGTCTACGTTGCGATCTAATAGATGTTTACACTGAAATCTGTATATTTTGGAAATCAAAATTGTTAGTATAGTTATATATTAGATTCGACATTATCATTATTTTTCGATAATCTTTCTTTTTTTATTATACGCATACATATATAATTTTTTATTATAAAAATTTTCATATGATTAAGATAATATTTTAATTGTTTACGTCACGAATAATTTAGAAAATGAACGATGTTTTTACATAGAAGACAAAAATTTCTCGAATTGTCTTCATAATTATCTACCAGGTTACAAGTCTTGTGAAACAAATCATGACGTCATCAAAATAAGAACTGAAAAGGTTGAAACTTATTTATTACTTCTATTAATTTTAAGTCATTAATATGCTTGTAAATTGACAAGCAATTAATAAATTACATTATATGTGTGTAGAAAGAAAAGATACGTACATTTCTCATTTCTTACATTATAATTAGATTCTTGTTTACATTTAATCTTTTTTTATGTTTAATTAACTTTTTCAGATGTTGGTCATGATAAAAGATTTTGTTGAAACGTTTATATGGACACATAATAATCTATTTGGGATTAATGAATTGTAATGTGTAAAAACATACGCGCACTAACATAATCGCTAGTTAGTAAATAACATATACCATTGTAAAAATAAAGAGCATTGTGAGATATTTTCAGATAACAATTATGTATAATTTACAATTTTCTATAATTTTACGTGTTTTAAGTGTTTATTGAGGCATTTATTCACAAAAAATCAAAGTAAAAATTTTACAGTTTCTGTCTTATTTTAAATAGTAGAACACATAAATGAAAACGTGAAATATGCTGTGGAAATTATCATAATATATAATCCACCTACAGATCAATCTACAGATTCGGACCAACATAATAAATAAAAGGATGTTATTGACATATACATATATACATACATGTTCGACAATTGAAAATCAACGATGAATAAAATGTAGCTATTATCTTTCTGCGATATTTATTATATTCATTAATATAAATAATAAAATAAGAAAATTTTGTGACTGCAACAATTTGAATTGATGCAGAAGAATTAATAAATCTTAAAATAAAAAAATTAATTAGTTTAATAACTTTTTTTAACACTTTCAATATATGCAAAATATGACGTAATAAATTTGCCATCTATTAATATCTATTATTTTAAAACTTATATAATCGATAGTGTGTTGCATTTGTATAAGTATAAATAATTATGTTAATAAAAGACAATGATTTTTATATTTTCAAATATACATAATTCTTTTGTATTGAAGGAGACGATAAAAGCTTATAAATGATATTAGATTTTGTATGATATTAGCATAATTTCAGATTTTGCAAATTTATCTCAATTTTAGAATCTCAATTTTAATTCCTCAGTTTCCGATTCAGCGACTTTTGGACCGATATATTTTGCTTTTCTACATCTTTGTAGGGAGATAAAAAAAAACATAAAAATTAAAATCTCGAATTGAGATTTATTCACAAACATCTGCGTTGGGTTCGGGTAGTCTGTTCATTTTGAGTTTGTATTTAATCCATAAAGTTTTATATTCTTATAAAGTTTAGATTACTAAAATATATACACCCCATATATACGCGCGAATAAAACTACATAAAATTGTACAATATTCTTATATAAACTATTTGTACATGCATCATTTATTAAATATTCGTATTGTAAGTCGGAAATTTTATTTTAGCTGAGAATTTTATCTGTAAAGATTTAAAAAATGCAAAATGTAAATCTCTCTCTTTCCTTTTCTCTCTTATCGAGAATATTTCATAATGCACAGCACTGGAGTTGTAAATTGTAAAATATACATACATAAAAATTGGTAAAATTTAATAAAATAAATGATAACTTGAAATAAAATTATTTTAATTAAGCTTAAATAATAAATAATACAAATACATGGAAATTAGTAAAATTTAAAATAACTGATAAATTTGAAAAAATATATTATTTTAATTAAGCTGAAATAGCAAACAATGCATAAATAAATAATAATAATAAAGAATAATAAATAAATAAATTATTTACCACGTTCTATCATTCAAGTGCACAGGAAAAAGTGGTAATTTTTGCTAGTTCTTAATTACATTTTCTGCGCATGCCGTGACAAATTCTTATACCTGTATCTTAGTGAAAACAAGCAATAAGGCTTTAAAATTTGGGGTCACATTTCATAATAAAGAACAGACCGTCTGTAGTGTGGAAACGTCTCTCGTGTACATCAAACACACATCTGTGCTCTTTGTAATCGGCAGACTCATTTCGTGTACTGCAAAAAGCAAGAAATTAATTACGCGAATAGTTTATTGCAATCACTTTAATTTACATTTTTTTTTGTGTTTTCTCTTTCATAATGTCTGATTGTAAGATAACGAGCTTACCAGAAGAGATCATAGCCATCATTCTCGGCTATAATGTTATTACTATTGAAGATATCATTAACTTTCGATGCGTGTGCAAGAAATTTCGTTATGCAGCCAAATATGACAAGTTCTTGGAAAAAAAGTTATTTCAGAGGTAATTCTTGTGATGTGTAAATCTTTTCATTTTGTCTCATTAACGCCTGTCGCACAATGTATATCACTTCTGCGAAGAACGTACATTATAAATAAATAATAAATAAAAAATATTCGAAAAATTAGACATGTTGCATTTATGTTGCATATTAAATTATTCGCTTTCATTTTTTTCTATTGCTCAATAATTTTGGCAAACTCTACCGTTATATACATATATAATAACATATACATATATACATATATATATATATATATATATATATATATACAGGGTGTCCGGTAACTAACGGACCAATGATTAAGGGCGGATTCTCTGGTCAATTTGGAGACGATTTTTCCTTAGCAAAAATGTTGAGAAGTTAATAATTTTCGAATTATAAGCGATTGAAAAAAATGGGTTTTTTGAAAACTAAACGTTTTGGAGTTAAAAGTCTAACATAATTACATTCTTCAGTTAATTTCAGGTAGAGTTTACTATAATAAAATTTTAATTTGAGGCTTAGTTATAAAGATACATAATGACAAATATTGGACAGTTGTAAAATATGATGACCTTTTTCGACATTTTCGCTGAGGAAAAATCGTTCCAAATTGACCAAAGAATCCACTTGTAATCGTTGGTCCGTTAGTTACCGGATACGCTGTATATATATATATATATATATATATATATATATATGGAATGTAAACATTAAATATAATATACTGATAAAAATTCTTAATTTTCGGCTGTCAAAAATTAAAAGACTAAATATTTTTCGACCGATACTGGCCAAATGATGTTTATTTAATTAATCACACAAAGTTTCAACCATAATTTTGGTCCTTCGCACACTTGACGGTACACTTGAGAACGACAGAAATTCTAGGAAACGTTGTGTGATTAATTAAATAAATATTAATTGGCCTGTATCGGTCGAAAAAGATTTAATCATTAAATAATTTCTTTTAGTTTTTAATTACTAAAAATGTAACGTAAAATCAACTTTGCTTATTTATTTTAATGTGTATTCTTCAATATATTTAGTTATATTTTAAAAATAAAGATTATATTTTTGATATATAATCGTGATTGAAACAAACAGGATTGATATTTTTTTATCGGTTTTTTAAATAAATAACTAAAATCATAATAAAATCTTCATAAAAGTAAAAGCATGCCAAGTAACATTTATAAACACAGTCAACATTGTATGTAAATATGCTTTCGGAAAAATTGTTCTAAAAAGAATTAAAAAAAAATTTTAATATATACACACACGCACATTAATGTTTATTAATAGCATGTAGAATTACGCAATATACATATTAAAGTCAAAATTTGAAAATATAATTTTAATATACTTTTAGAAATCTATAGTTCAAAAAAAAATATTTACATAAATAATTAAAATTTAAATTGAATATTATATATTTTATTTTTATGATTAAAGTATAAAAAGAAGTGACATACATGTACTCATGCTTTGAATTGTATACTTCACAAAATTTATTAATTTGAAAATTACTTGTGCAATCACATTGTTTACTATCATCAAAATTTGCTATGTGTTATCTGAATAAAATTAAATGGAAAAACTATGGCGTCATCTTATCTGTGCATATAGATAGTAAAAATATAAATTATCTTTATATCTGCATTTTGGTTAAAAAATTATTATCTTTACTATATAATTTATCTAGAACAATTTTTAGATCATTTTGGTGTAGAGTCATTGCACTTAAATATACTTAAAGTAGACAGTAAAGCGATAAAATTTATAAATAAAAATATAAATACATATATTATTGTATTCCTTTTATAATTTATGTGTTTTGTATAACTGTGTTTACGTAAGCAATCTTAAATATTAACAATTATCTAGCTAGATATATCGCCATATAATTATATATTTTGTCTAGATATACTTAAAACAAAATCATCTTTATCCTATTTAAGATAAATTACATACTTTTGTCTCACCTTTATCTAGCTAATTTTAAATTAATCTTGACACAACACTTACAATTAGTATCATTATCAAATATTTATTACAATATTTTATGGTCGTATTTTAGATGGCCCTATGTAAAGAAAAAATATGAAAGTCTTAAAGAAACAAAAGATGGAAAAAACATAAACTTTATTACAGAAGGCATAAATTCTGTGATTCAATTGCGAAATGATTTGTCTCTAATTCTTTTTTACGATTATTATTACAAAAATAGAGCAAATCAAAATTATTTCGACTTATTTGCTAATGTATTAACATTCGAAAATGTCATGAAATTTAGCGGTAATATCGATGAATATAAAAATCAATTTCTTGTTCCTAAAAGGACACATGAGCATATAGATGTGCTAAAAATATGTTTTATATTAAGGAGATTAAATTCTTGTTAACACAATTTCCACAGTAGGATCTTCATATATATTATAATGCTACTATTATTACAATTTAATGTATTTATTCATTAGTTAATAATTCAATATATACAAATTTTTTAGAGGAATTGATCGCAAATCAATTGAAAGATATTGCAATATAGAAATGTCTCACTATGAAAAGCTATCTTGGATACAAAATGAGTTAGACAGAAATAGTGTGAAACCTGAAAAAGAACAGCTTTTGGAAGAAATTTGTACTTTCATAGTACAACGTATTCAACCTCGAAAAGATGTATGTTACACGAATGTAAGTGCATCATTGGATACAATCGCACAAGAGGTTCTGAATTCTCTTAGAAAGAAGCATCCGAACCATTCAATATTCTCCACGTCTGATGAAACTTTTTCTTATTGGAAAACCAACAATATCAAAGATAATCATTGGAATGAAACAGAAAGTACGCTGATTATGGATACACTCCAGGAATATATATTTGGCACCTTGAACTTTCGACCCTGCAAGTCCTTACGCGTACATATCAATTGTTTGTGTATAGATTATGTAAGATATTATAGATTATAATACATATATAATTATGAGCCATATATGTATATGCTATATGTTGTTCTTAATATTCTGTCGCTTTAACTAATTTATCCTGTATTATACCT